TTAAGTAAGGACTTGTGTCACTAAGTTTCGTCAGAACGAATTTACGGAAAGTTAATTAACAAACGGAGACGTAACAATATATTCATTATTGTAGCTTGCTGTAAATAAACTTATATGCCTTTATAATAAATATATATTTATGATTTTTTCCCTTTGTGGTTTAACTTTAATGTTTGTTGAATAAACAAAAACCAAAGTTTTGTATGCAAAACGTTTGAGAAACAACATATAAATTTCAGTTTTTCGTGTTTTTTTATGGTTCCATCATCAAAGCAGTCAACACAAAATTCTACTTTAGGTAAAAACATTTATAAATAACTTACTTTCTCTTGGAATGACGTTTATTTTTCTTCTATTCCCTACTTTTAGTTCACTTCGGAAAAGCGATGACACTATGCATGCATAAACAGCATCATCTAAAGCATCCTCTTTAGTTACATTTGAAAAATGTAGGCCTCCTTCAGGATCGACAGACACCCGTGAACTGTAAGATGTTTGGAAAATGCACATTTATATATTATGTATCGAATTAATAATTGTCAAGCTATGAAAAAAAAACAAAAACAAGAAAACATGCTAGTGTAACTCAAATACAAATTATATTTTAATGATTAATGGAGTGAGTTCCATCTGAACTACCTCGTGACACTCTACTCATCTACCTGGATGACATAGTCACACATGGGAAGATCTGCAATAATACTTCAGATAGACTGAGAAAGGTTCTGGGTGAAGTAAGGAAAGAGGACCTTAAGCTGAATCCTAATAAGTATGTATTATACCATCAACGGGTGAGTTTCCTGAGACACATAGTCAGCATTGAAGGAGTGTTTACAGATCCATCAAAGAACAACTCACTCAATTGGCCAACACCAAAGAACCTGCATGAGGTAAGATGATTTCTTGGATTGTGCTCTTATTACTGTCGTTTTGTAAAAATCCTTTTCTGACATAGTTCATTGTATACAAAAATTACCTAAGAAGCCAAATATGTTTTGTTGGACTGCTGCTTGTGAATAACCATTCAAAAAACTAAAGAAGGAATTGGCCACTACTCCAATACTCGAATAACGGAATATCCATTCATTTTAGATACAGATGCCAATGATTTTGCAGTTGAAACAGTTTTTTTTTCACGAGTGCAACACGGAAAGGAACACGTAGTTCCCTGCTGTAGCAAGGCAATGAATGTTGCAAAAAGGATGTATTGTACAACGTGAAAGGAGCTACTAAGTTTTCTTCAAGCCCTGAGTGACTTTCATCATTATTTATATTGACAAGAGTTTACATGCTGTACAGATCATGCAGCATTGAAGTGTTTGTTGAATTTTCATAGTCCAGAAAGCCAAATAACGAGATGGCTCCAAAACCTTTCTGCATAATCTTGGACAGAATGATGGAAATACTGATACATTATCCTGAATACCATGCCTTAATGAAGAGCATAAACATGTGAGAAGAGTGAAGTACAAGATAAGAAAGAATAGCATCTTGGAGTACAGCAAAATGCAGCCAAAAATATGGCATCTACAAGCGACAATGGGGAACTGATGTGACCCAACACTTAACTGGAAACTGCTCAAGCAAAGAATACGAGTTTAAAACCAATTATTCAATGGTTCAGGAATGGTACAGAATAATCCTCATGTCAAACAGTCACTCCACACAGCCCGAAAACAGAGGTATTGGGTACAGTGGGATTCCCTATGCTTAAAAGAGAGTTTATTCTGTCAGAAATGGAAAGATACCAGTATATAAAAACAATGATTACATTTGTTACTTCTCCAGTCTTTACATTCTGAAGCATTCCATCATCTGTGCATTATTCCAATGGCTCCACACACAGGTGTTAAGAAGACACGAGCGCAAGCAATAGAATAATTATTATGGATTGGGTGGCACGGATCTGTAGAGAATTGGTATAAACGTATCAGTTCTGCTGTGAGTGTAAAGGTCCACTAAAGAAACAGTAAGGGCAGCTACAGCAGTATTATGCTGGATCACTATTTGAGAAGGTTGCTGTTGAATTGCTTGGTTTTCTCCCACAGAGTAACAATGGTAATAGACACATTATGTTGTGATACACTATTTCATGAAATGGCCAAAAGCATATTCTGTTCCTAATCAGGAAGCTAAAGATCTCGCAAAGAAACTCATCAACTAATTTGTCTCAAGCCTTGTTCTGCCTACGGAACTCCCTCAGACCAGGGACAAAACTTTGAACCAGACTTGTTTGTGGAAGTATGTTGGATCCTTGAGATTAAGAAAACCAGTACGACAGCTCTTCTTCCATCTTCTTATGTCATGGTGAGAGGTATAACCACAAACTGTTATATCAGTTAGCCACGTATGTGTGGTTGAACATCAGAAAAACGTGGGATCAAGATATTTCACTGTTACTGATGAGTTAATCATACAGCAATACATGAAGCCACTAGCAACACACCATTATCACTAATGTTTGGGAATTAATTTAAAGTGCTATTGGACCTTCTGTACTCTTGTTCAGAGAACAGTTATTCAGAATAATCTTATATAGAATATGTAAAAAAAAAAGACTTAACTCAGCTAACAATAAAATGAAACGTCACTATGATATCAATACTGATAAGACTGGATGAGCTCCAAAGTTAAGCAGATGGTGGAAGGAGCCAGATGATGAACTGAAAGGAACCAATGATGTGGTTTTAAAGAATGCAGAAGAACAAACGATCTAAACCAAAGATCATCTGTCATTATCGTCTTTGGAAATACATTGATGAAAGAACAGCTAATGTAACTCTAGTCAGTGGAAATTTAACCTACAAAGGATCCCAGAGTTTCTGTTGAGACTACTTCTACAGGATCAACAAGGTTGGAGCCGCCAGTGGATTCATTTCACCACCTATCTATGACAAACTCCTACAGTGACAACAAGGGATAAGATACCATCCCATCAGTATACCATGGACCTTTGAGGAGAAAACCACCAAAAAGGCTTGGTAAATGGACATTTCAGTGTAGTTTTATTTTTTTTCCATTAAGATTGTTCGAGAGACTTCAGAATCCAGGAAGGAGGCAGTGTTATAAGCTATATTTTTATGTTGTAACTTGTTTGTTTGCAAGAGAGTGATTGTTTGTAATTAAGCACAAAACTACACAATGGCCTATCTGTGCTCTGCCCACCACGGGTATCGAAACCCGGATTCTAGCGTTATAAGTCCGCAGACATACCGCTGTACTATTGGGGGCATTTTGCAAGAGAGAGCTGTGTACCATAATGATTACATTAAGATCGATAGGTTTAGTGTGAGGTAGGCTGGAATACCTGGAGGTTTCTAAAAGATTTCATATCACGTTTTCTGTTATAATTCTATGTTAGATTATAAATACGGGTAAGCCAGTCAATAAGGGGTTCTTTTTAGTTATCTGGAGAAAATGTTTCAAAGTTCAGTCTACATAAGCAATAACAAATGAGTTTGTTTCTTCCTTGATACATTTACAAACTTCCTTAACTTGTACATTGTTGTAGAAATATAGGCCTAAGGAATCCACGATAATTTGTGTAGGATTAACGTAAAAATCAACTCAATATCAAAAATTTAAACACTTACTGATTTATTCTACAAACTTATTTACGTCGGCCTAACGAAAGAACAAAGTTATAATAGGAAACAAAGTGGATTCAAAACTTACTACATCAAAACTGCTATCACTATTCTGATTAGTAAGTATAAATGTATTATCGTTAGTCAGTAGTTGTTCCGCCTTGCGAGTTCATTTTTGCCCCTCTTTGGACTGCTTCTTTTAGAACGTACAAGCAGATGTACTTGTTTAATGCACGGTGAGAGATATATGAAAGTCCATGTTTTCTTTCCAAAATATGACTGGCAATATAAAGATTGAACATGCATACGAATAAACTTATTCATGCCATCTGAGCCTGATTATTTAAATAACATTTTATTTTATACTAGCAAAAGTACCAGGCTTCATTCGGGTTATTAAGTTGATATATTCTAGATGATTATGTCAATGTGTGTATTCCGAACCCATTTTACCATAAAAGTATAACCTATATACATTTGTTTCTCCTTTACTGGAAGTGGCCTGTTTATAAAGGTATCCTTCCTTCTGACTTGTCTGCCCACTTTAAACTTCAATAATAAACACAAATAATAGAAAATAAATATCTTTAGTCAACGGAGCCTCTAACTTAGAAAATAACATTTTTTTTCAATTTTCTATTTCATTTTATACTTTCAGCACATGGCCTCTTAACAACAATATTAGGTTATACTTTTAGTGCTCAGCAACATGATATAAAAGCCAATGTTACCAAAATGTACTAGCTTTTCTATATATATTAGAAGTTGTTAGCTAAGGAACCACTTATTTTCTATGTGGTTTTTCGCTAGACTGCCTCGTTAAAAAGATGCGCACGAACGTGGATAATATAAGTAATAATACTCAAGTGCACACCCTCAGGGTCCACTTAGTATGGGTGCAAAATTTCAGGATTCTAGGTTCTTTATATTGGAGCTATGGCA